TTTTTGTAAAGGAAAAACAAACGATTATTAAAATATTTACACTGTGTTCCCTCTTCCATTCAAGCTGTTTGAAGACGGGCTCAAGGGAATCATTTTCCTATTTGAAATCCCTGATAGATGCTGAGCTAATAATTAACATGACAACGTCAGCATGAGATGCAGATGTAGTTTGTTTCTTTTCTTTTTGTGTAATTTTTGGGGGGTTAAATCTAAGGTACAGTGTTCACTTCCGCTTTCGTTCTTTCCACTTGAAGGTTAAGTGAGGAATGCTTACGGATTTCATAAATTTGGAGCAATTCCTTAATTAGTTTTATCAAAATTAATTAAAATGCATGTTTCTTCTGATACGTTGGCGTACCCCGGGGATGGTGTTAGCGGTTGTCGTAAGCACATTAATGTCATCCCGGTTGGGGGGGGGCACCAAAGTAGAAGGATAAAATAAATATACTGCTTTTAAAAGAAAAACTTTTTAAGAAATGATTTAATTCATTATTTTTTCCTAGACACACAATAACGGTAGACTTCGGGTTACACCGCAAGCTCCTTCAAAAAAAAAAAACCGGCTTGAACTTGTTGAGTGAGAAAGAGACCCAATAAATTGGGGGGGGGGGGGGAATCGTTATGTGGCTATATTCCACGGGATCGAAGCTAAAATTACACCACGGTACACTACTACATTTGCGCATACAAATGGACATAAACTTGCAGTATTAAATAAAAGTATGTACTTTTCTAAATAAACAGAATACAATAATCATAGGCATTATAAACCGAGGGCTATCAATAATTCTTTATGTCTTAAAATTCCCGAGGTCGGATTATATCTTTTTCCGGTGACGACTCTTTTCCAAATGTCGGATTTTTTTATGTATCTGATCTTTTTCCCGTGTCAGATCTTTTTTCCGGTAACGGATCTTTTCCCGGTAACGGCTTTTTTTTCCCATGGTGACGAATCTTGTGTCGTTTTTTAAATTTTTTGCCCGCTTTCAGATCTTTTCCGTGTTGCATCTTTTACTGGTGTAAAGTCAGGTGTCACTTAAAAAAACAAACAAATTTTAGTTGAACATGATGTCCTAAAGGCTAAGACAAAATTCCTATTTGAGTTGGCACTTCGTCTTTAAAAGGGGCTATTTAAAAAGAAATGGTATGTGATTTGGAGCTGAGGAGGTATTCATGATCATTAATACATGTACTCATTACGTTGTTGGTTGATGTAATTATGTTCAATAATACATGTAACTGCTATTTTCCTTGTTAATGTATTCATGTTCAATAATATTATGTGTTCCTGTTATTTTTCTGGTTGATATATTCATATGCAATAATACATGTGCCTGCTACGTTGCTGATTAAGTATCCATTTTAGATAATACATGTACCTGTACTTTGATGGTTAATGTATCCATGTAAAATAATACAGAAACCTGCAACGCACCAATGTTCAATAATACATGTACTCATTACATTGCTTGTTAATGTATCCATGTTCATTATAACATGCACCCATTACTTTGCTCAATGATGTATCCATGTACAATAATACATGTACTCATTACGTTGCTGGGTGATGTATTTATATTCAACAATACATGTACATTTTACGTTGTTGGATGATGTATCTATGTTCATTAATGCATGTCATGTACCTGTATTGTTGCTGGTTCCAGCATCTCTATTGCCTGGTTAAGACGGATAAGTGACAATACTATTTTTTTTAATATTGTTTAAAAACTGATTACGTATGTAGGCCTACTCCCCCACCCTACTACCTTATGTTTTTTAAATTTTCAAAAAACTATGTTTCCTACCTCTACAAACAGCTATGTTGCCCCCCACCCCCCACCCAATTATTTAAACTGTTGTATTGCTTATGCGTCCATTTATGATGCCTAGATAAGATGGGTAATAGTCGATAATATTTTTAAAAAATATTTTAAAACTTAGCCTATACTATCCATTATATCGTTTTTGATTTTTCGGTTATCTAAAAAAAAATAATATCTTTTTATATAATATTGTACTATTCCCAACATACCTGCAACATTATAACTGTAAGATCATCCAATCATACATCTCTCTTTAACCATCCGATCATGGTCTTCTAAAATATCTATCAAATTGTATCTGTAATATCGTGCAATGCCATATCTCTTCTACAAACCTGATCACGGCTCTCAATTAAAATTAGTTCACATATTGTCTGTGATCCCAGTTTTTCACTACTATGCTGATCATATCCCTCACATTTCAATCTGTAAAACACTACTGCTAGATTTGTGTATCAAATTTTATCATGTCGTCTAAAAAATTACTAGACTTTTGATTTTCCACTGAAGAAACTGAATTGCTTTTTTAGTCTATCACTATATAAATAAAAGCCCTCTGATCATTTTTAGAGCTTTTTATTCAAAAATCATTTTATTTTAAATCCTTTTGAATGGGTGGGAAGATAGAAACGTTATTAAAAATTCCAGTGTTCGTGTATTGTAAGAAAATTTACATTGATATCAACCTAACAATATCATTATTTCATGTCTATTGATAAATATTTTAATTTTTCTACGTTAAGTTGAATTATTTCAATTTATAAAAAATAATAATTTTAGTCCTAACTAAGTTATTATATTACAAGAGTTTCCAAAACCTTAAGTAGCACCACTCCTAAAGAATGGAAATGTGGCTTTCTGGGTTACAAAGAAATGTGATTTTAAGAACAGACGAGAAATACACTTTTAAGTTGTTGTAAAAATGTTTTGAACATTTTAATTCTTCGTAATATATAAGCATATCCTTAAACAAGTCCTTTTAAATCTACAGTTTTCTTTGTTATTTAATACAGAAACAAGACGTTAATTCTTTACCTAAAAATTTGTTTCAGGGAATTCTAGGTTACTCAAAGCATTTGACATAGCTGCAAAATATTGTGAACGTTCAATTGTGCAGTGATCATATTTTGTTATTTTCAGGGCACAATGTTACTGGATTCTCCAACATTTAAAATTAATAACCGCCATAAAGATCTTCCAAGGTATTAGTGGTGTTATCTAGCATACTTCTCTCTTAATTAACATTTCTCTATTCAATGTTTGATTTAGTTTGAGATAATTAATACATTTCGTTAAGTATCAAAATTAAGTTAAGTTCCTTCTACTCCTAGTTTTTTTATGTTTATTGTGATTCAATGCTTCCATAAAATTGCATCTTTCCAACTGAGCCATCAGGCCCTCTACCACACAAATATTACACGTAAAAAAAGATAGTGAAACCATAGGGTAAAGCTGGTTCAACATTAATTTAATTGAAATATATTGATTCAAATCTAGGAGTCTCTTGTTTATTGGTTGGCTTTCCACATAAAACTTTAATAGAATTAGAAAAAAATCAAACTTTCCATTGGTTATGTTCTATATAAATCATCAAACATCTTATAAATGTTGTATGCTAACTGGAACATATAAAAGAATTAAATTTTATTATAAGATACATATATTTGTGAGTAATTAATTATATATTCTCTTCCTCTTTTTTTTTCATAAAGTATTCAACTCAAAAATGAGATTTTTAAATCAATCAACTTGAAAGAAAGTGAAATTACGGGATCTTTAATTCAAACATGATTGCAATATCTTCAAATTAAAAAAAAATTTTAACAGTAGTGATAATTGATAATTTGATTTAATTTTTTTTTAAAATGAAAACTTAGATTTAGAAATGTATGTTTTAAACATCGTGTTTTATCTTGAAATTAATTAAAAATGGAGATGACCATTCATAGAATAATATCACTTAAATTATAGAGCAGAAGTAATTTAGGTCAGAGAGTATGTTCAAGTATAATTCATTTGACTCAATATACTTTCAGCATTCAAAAAAAAAAAAAAAAAAAAAAAAAAAAAAAAAAAATTGTGCTGGGTTCTACAAATTAGTGTACTGTAAATCCCATCATAATTCAGAAACACTTTTCTAAAGTAGAGTAATGCATATTCTATTTTTAATTAGCCGATCGATTTTCGGAACCGTGCGTTAATTTCATATTAAAAATATAATATGCAAAATAAATGGCCATATAAAATGGCCAGATAAATGCTGAATATTTGTTTACCATATTCGTACAATGTAACATTGTTTACCACGTCTGTTTGTAGCACAGTCTGCTATATGTGTTATTAGCACAGTTTCCTCTGTCTGTTGTCGAAAATTCTATTCTGTCTGTTAACACAGTTTCCTCTCTCTATTGTCGAAAAAGTTAATTCTTCTGTTAGCACTGTTTCCTGTGTCTGTTAGCACAGTTTCCCCTGTTTGTTTGTATAAAAGTTTATTATGTCAGTTAGAACTGTTTTCTCTGTCTGGTAGCACAGTTTCCTCTTTTCTGTTGTTGGAAATACTCTATGTGGTTCAAGTATTTTCTTCCTTTATCATGTTTTCCCCTTTTCCAATGGCGTCTTCTTATGTTATTTTATTGATTGTGACTTTTTTGTATTTATATCATTGTTTTCATTAACTTAAAAAATAAAACCGTAGACACATGTGTTCCACATTCAGAATTTACAAACACTCGCCAACACTAAACACAATATATAAATAAATTACCACAACAAATATGTTGAAAGAGAATGCAAATGCAAAACTTTTTTTTTTTAAAAGGTCAAAAACACACATACAAATATATCAAAATTAAACGGGATAAACAGATTTTAAATATAATATATTTTTATTTCACTTTGATTCCAAAAAATCACATTAGCTGACGGTGAATGAGTTATGTAAATACACAATTTTCTTTATACACAAGAATTTCTCAAACATTTATAATGTAAATATATATAAATCATTGAAAGTGTGGTCTATGATATTTTGATGAATCTACAAATTAAAGTTATAGCACATATACTTCTAAAGACTGGGACATGTTATGAAAGTCATTTCATTGAAGCCCCATTTTTTTAAAAATAGCATAACCTAATGAGAGAAATGTTCAAACAATAAATTTAATTATAAATCCACTATGTAAACCGAACACACAAATGATCTTGGATGTATATTAAATGATACTTGTCAGGTTAGCCATGTCTTAACTAATTTAAGTTTTAATCTAAATGGATCAATGACCAACGTTGTAATTGTTATTTGTCTTTTTTTAAAAGACCTCAATTTAAAACAGTTGACTTAAGAGAACCACTCTATTTTTGAGCGAGTTTCCAAGAGGCTTTCCGTATATCATTTTCCGTTTTATAACAAAAGAATGGCAGTCTGAAAGTTAAAAATAAAAAGAATATGGGTTATAGGATAAGTTTCTTGGGGCATTTCAGAAGTTCGGGAGGGCAGAACATCCATCGACGTCAAAATTGACATTATGGCTAAAAAAAAACAACATATTTGACTACAGCACCCACATTCTAAATAAACTGAAATGTATCCAGTTATAAGGGGTAAGCTTTTGACCTTAGAATATTTTGGTACTGGAATCTTTATTCTGTAAGAGCTTGAAAAATCTACTTTTTAATTTGGTTATTCTCTGACTTTATTTCGGGGTGATATGAGTGATACATTTTAGGCGCCGAAGGCTCCCGAGCATAAGTGGAGGAGACTGAGAGGGGGCTTATTTGGCTAATGAAATTTTCTTTTCAGATCATTAGTTCTTTAAGTTTGTGGGTCGGAGCATTTCAGACGTTCGGTTTGGCAGTGCATTATAGAGATAATAGCAGCCATTTCGATTGCTTTTTATCCCAAGTAATTGTTTCCTTTGTAATCGGCACACTAAAACCATAAAAAAGTTTATAGTAAAGACCTTTTCTTTTTCACCTTAAGTTAGACCTTTATTTAGCCTACATCAGTCTCCCACTAGTGAGGCAATGATATGGGCGTACCCGAGTAATTGGGCTATGTCAGTATTTACCCAAACCTCGCTTGATTGGGAAACAGTTTAATTACGTTTAATTGAGTTTATGTGTCCTAAATAATGTCATCAGAGGACGCAACATCTATAATGTCTTTACTAGATCGTACTAATTTACGTCTATACAAAGACCACCTGATTTCTTAGCAGCAAGACGGATAGTGCAGAGAGAGAGAGAGAGAGAGAGAGAGAGAGAGAGAGAGAATGATAGATAGATAGATAGATAGATAGATAGATAGATAGATAGATAGATAGATAGATAGATAGATAGTATCTATCTATCTATCTATCTATCTATCTATCTATCTATCTATCTATCTTAGATAGATAGATAGATAGATAGATAGATAGATAGATAGATAGATAGATAGATAGAGAGAGAGAGAGAGAGAGAGAGAGAGAGAGAGAGATAGCGAGAGATAGAGAGCCATAGGGATTTTTTAAATGTAGTTCCTTACATATTCGAGACGTTGTATATTTTGAGGAGAGTACCTTTCAGCTTGCTGTGTTATACATTAAGTTGACATGGCTTTTTTGTGTGCGTTTATTGGTTTCTGTATATTTGAATTTATACTTTTGACAGAAATTTAAAAGCGCAGTTAAATTCAGTAGTGTTGGTTTCACTTACTTGGTCTTGTTTTATTTGAATACTATTTATCTCAGTTCCATTGTTATGTTCTGCATTGTTTTTTCAATAAGCAAAATTTAGCACCGATTAAGACCATAGCGATACAAATCAGCAAGATAATGTTTGTCTTAGCTCAATACATTATTTTTTAATACATTAATTATAACCAATATGATTTTGTGTTTTTGTTTTTGTTTTTTTTTGTAGTTAAAATTTGCATATACATCAGTTTGATCAAGTCATGATTTGGGCTGAGGGGCGCCCGAGAAAATGGGGATTAGACGCCCAGTGAGTTGTATTTGATAACTACCACAGACAAATTTTAAAATATTCATCTTTCGATGATGCATTTTCGAACATACATAAATTTAGTTTTGCATCATTCAACTCGAAATCAAAAAGCAAAATATAAGATACCCGCAGAGTTCTAGTTGTTTTTTTTTTTAAACCTGAAAGTGTTTACAGAAATACCATATTATTATTTTTGTATTAATAAAAGTATTATGATCAAGAATTTGAAAAATATATATATATATTAGAAATTGTGTAGGTTGTGGTGAAATGACTATTATATAGTAGGGGGTGTTAGATCAACTCACTTATGGGTGTCACAACTGCTTGTGTCAAAGGGCATTTTGTTATATCGATTTCACGCACTTACAGACATAATTACTTTGCTTATTTATGCCTTAACTACCACACTCTTCATAACAACATTCATTAAATAAAAGGAAACTATTCACTTACGGGTGTATTGAAATATTACAAGGTAGTGAAGGATATGCAAAACATTTTTCATATCAATTTATCTAAGTTCTATTTTATTATGAACAATAACCTCCCGTATAGCCAACCTCTCATCATAATAGGCGGCTTGCTTAGTATTTCAATTGTATGCCATCAGACCTTTCAAATTAACTAATTAGTCAATTATTTTGATTATCTAGCATGATCCATCAGAAGTACTTTCACATTTTTGATGGAGGTGGCTCTTCCGATTCTTCACTACGGGGCTTCACAGGGCGTTCAAGCAAGTAGATAGGGTTTGGTTATAAATCAGCTTTGATGAAATGGTTAGATCATTCAATAATGAGATACTTCAAATTAGAAATGGATTATTGGGTCCTATCCTTCATGACTTTTCAGGTCTTAGCGCTTCCCAAGGCGTTATCGCAATTAGATGATACGGCAATACTATACAGAGTTACATTCAACGTTGAAGGGAACTCTTTATCCTATGTACCTCGTGGATATTTAGTTCTGAGCACTTCTCAGGGCATGTATAATACCAGTCATAAATGTATCTTCTGGGGTACCTTTTCCCCAGTACGCATTGGTGAGTGTATGTGATATTTCTCGGGGGAGTAAAGTCCTTCAGCATACGGATGGGTTCTTGGGCGGGTTATTGGACTCAGGCCTCTGGAAACATATTCATCAATTCAGCCGACAAGGCTTTGTTGACTGTACTGCAGCAATGCATGATCTAGCAACCAGGCTACATGTGAAGACACAATAAAAGAAGGGAACTATTCCAATATTCCCGAGCTAACACATCCCTTTACAACGACAACGAATTCAGAGCAAGGCGTCAAAGAATATAGAAGCTGTACAATGTTAATATCCATTGGGGATAACCTTAATCGGCTTTACTATAGCCGCGAAAGCATAGGTGGCTAGAGTCGACACGTGGCGAACGATTCTTTTGAACACATTTTATTACAACGAACTAATAACCTCCAGAGTGGATTAATATAATACATCTATTCAACTATAAAGGAGAACATAATGGCTAACATCTATCCATTGGCCAGATCACAATCTGTACCATGGGATGAAGTCTAAATATTTAAATCCCAAATCGGCCGACACGAATACTGTGTTGGGTGCACGTGTCGAACATTGAGAAACAATAAATTAAACAATGATTTAAATAAATTCACTTTTATCAGAATGACCATAGATACAATTTTTAACCAAATTTTATAAATGCTAATATAAATATTCAAGTACAGTAATAAAATAGAAATATTCATTCAAATCAATAAGTTTTAGAAAAGCCCGCTTTAAGGCAATCTTAGTTGACTTGTCTCATGTTACTGCATTAAAATCTAGTTCCCTTCTTATCTCGTGATTCACATCATTATGATAAAAATTTCTACGCCATCATTTCAAAAAAAAAAAAGTATTAGGGACGTTTGAAAAATTTGGGTCAACTTGGTCTGTTACAGGAAATAACTCGTCCTGAACTCACAAAAAAGTTTGGGTGTGCTCTAGGTAGGTCATCGTGTGTACATAGAAATTGTAAGTGCAACTCCATTTCGTCACAACGAGGAATCAGTTGGCGTAGATTTGTACATGGGTTACCAGCACTAGCGAGCAGAGCAATGCAAAAAAATGAGTATAACCCATCTCCCCCACACAACACTTTTGTACGGGTCCGATACACTTAGACTCTTCCGCCAAATTAGTATTAAAGATAACCCCCACCCAGAAAGCTTAGTTTTTTTTATTCAAAATAATCGTGTGCTTCTAATTATTTTAATACAAAATAATTACATTTTAAACGTTTTTTGTGCCACATTCACAAAGAAGTGTACTTACAATTTTTTGCAATTAGCCAATATTTTTTGCACTGAAAAATTATCAAGATTGGGAAATTCTCCTGCAACATCCACGAAAAGAATCTTTATAGTTCTATGATAGCAGGCCACACGATGAAGTAGACACTTCAGCTGACGAAAACACAAGAAATACATTTAGTTTGTTTTAACATAATTTATTTGTGTGTATATATATAAAAAAATTAGATTATTATATTTCATCCATTAAAACCAGCGTGCATCACTGATAAAAAAAACATCATTGTGCTGTTTCTCGAATTTTAAGAACATGTAAACGTGGTGTGGTTATTCAAATATGTCTTTTTTTACCCTGATTTAAGATGCAATGATGTGTATTTAATATTTGTAAAGTGTGTGATCATTTTTAACATATATAACCTCAGACTTTCGAGAATGAGCATGGTCAATTTGGAACTAATTGAATTAAGGTCGAATTAAATCGCTAAACAGATGATTTTGAGAATAATTCTGAAACAAAAATAAAGGAAATCTTATTTTTTAAGTTGTGAACTTTTCAACCTTTCAAGACACCCATAATGTGGCCAGATACAATGGCCAGATAGAATGGCAATATGCAATGGCCACATAAAATGGCCAGATAAAATGGCCAGATAGTGTGATCAGTTAGTGTTACCAGATAAAATGACCAGATACAATTTCAAGACAAAATGGCTATCCAACGCTTATTCCATAGATCATATTGGAACTACCTGGACGGCAACTTCTTAGAGGAAGACACCTCGACCAAAGGTGTTATGAACAAGCGCTTCTGGATTTATGTGAAGCACCAAGAGTCTTCAAATGCTAGAGTTTTTCCCCCTGAGATGGGATTGTTATTTGATATCTGAACTAAAGGCTCAGGCTGACATACTGAATCAGCAGCTCCAGTTTGTCTTTGCTGACGGTATAGAGTTCTGGGAGGCTTAGTTCCTTCTAAAAACCAAGAACAGAGCCTCCGCCGTCAATGAAGATATCCGTATATCAGAGCAGGGGTTGCTTGCCCTTTTCCAACACAATTACCCCTATTAAACATGTGGTCCTGACAAGATAAAACCACGAATGCTAAGAAAATTAGCCACATAAATCGCTCCTGCACTGACAATTCTCTTCCAATCATCGCTGTGCACAGGCAATCTTCAAACAGTCTGGAGAACAGCGCATGTCACTCCATTATACAAGAATGGGGAGCATTCCGACACTGCGAACTATCGTCCGATATCCCTAATCGTGGTCTGCAAACTGTTGGCGTACATAATCGTAAGCACAGTCATGAAGCATCTTGAAAGGTAAAATGTACTCAATAACAAAAAACATGGCTTCCGAGTAAATAGATCATGTTAGATTCAGCTCCTTGATATTGTAGGAGACTTGATGACCAATCTGGAGAAGAGCAAGTAAACTGACGTGCTTGTGATGGACTTCTCAAAGGCATTTTACCCTGTCAATCATAGTTTCCTTCTACACAAACTCCCGAGATATAGGATGCAAGGCACTACTAAAACATGGATCTCGAGCATCCTCACAAATGATGTCAGCAGTAGTTGTGGACAGTACACACTCCTCCTTTATCGGTGTGAAGTCAGGGGTCCCTCAGGGATACGTGCTAAGCTCTTTTTTTTCCTAGCATACATTAATGACCTACCAGAGAAATTGTCATCACAGGCAAGACTGTTCGCAGATGACACATCGTTGCATAGGACATTTGCCAACAGATCTGACCGGGACCAGCTACAACAGGATCTCAATCGGTTAGCTTGCTGATAGATGAGCTGGGATATGGAATGTGATCATGCCAAGTGCCAGAAACTGTCAGTCTGTAGAAGTTGTACTCCTCTACACTACAAATACAAAGGGCATGGCCATATACTTAAGCCAGTTTCCTCTGAAAAGTACCTGAGTGTTACCATTCAAAGAGAAGTCCGCTGGAACGAGCATATTAACAATGTGTGAAACCAGGCAAACACGATCCTGGGGTTCTTGAGGCGTAATCAAAAGATTGGCAACTCATGTGTGAAAGAAAGTGCCTATAAGGCCTTTGTCCGTCCGGTTTTAGATTATGCATTTTTCTTCTGGGGCCCACTTACCCAGAAAAGCATTGGCAGGTTGGAGTAGGTCCAGCGAAGAGCAGCACCCCTCGTCCCGAACCACTACAGGAATACCTCAAGTGTTGGCAGCATGCTAGAAACACTAGGCTGGTCACCATTGGAGGAATGACAACGACTATCCTGGCTCTCCATAATGTAAAAGATAAATAATGGGCTGGTCCACTGTTCCAACATTTAACAGAAACTCGTCCCTCTCCACAATATACAGCAACGAGGGAATGATAGGCAATTCAGGCTTATGCCAGCGAGAAGCCAGTATAGGATCTGCTCATTACTGCAAAAGACAATCAGGGACGGGAACAATCTTTCAAAAGGAACAGTTAAGGTGACATAACTTGACCCATTTTCGTCTATAGCCTCATGCCTTCCAAACACCAATGTATGATTTTCTCACAAAGTAGCCCTTGCAACCACGAAAATATCCTCATCAACATCAAGCATAAAAACATTTCAAATCCCTTGGACAAGCATAGGAGCCAAAATGATCAATAAATTGATCATGGGCCCTTAATATATAGAAGAAGAATGGTAACATGAAATGGCCAGACAATTTGCAAGATAAGTGGCCAGATAAAAATGTGAGATAAAATGGCCAGATGATTCATTAAAATGATTGTTTAATAAGACGGAGCTGAACCAGAGAACAAAATTACTCTTGCTCAAACATTATTGAATCCAGAAATAAGTTTTTGATCAGCGATACAAATTTGGATTCTATACTATGTTAGTACTTTGATTCCTGACTGGAGGAAGATATTTAACAACTGCTGAAGATACAAAAATGACATTAAAAAATGTAAAAACTATTTAGCTTAATAATAACAGACTTATCGGTGTCAGTTATATTAGCTAGTCGTTGACTGTTACACGTCATGTGTATGTTAGTTACAATATCACTAGACTCCTAATCTATTCTCACTCGAATAGCCAAAATAGTAAAATTTACACGCCCGCCTTTTAATACATTATAACAAAAAAGTAATAATTTGTGATTAATTGGAAGTAATTTCTAAAATAATTTTTGTATTGTTACTGTTGTGATTAATTTGGATAAATGCCTACTAGACCAAACAGCTAACATTTAATACATTAATCTTACATCAATTTCCAGTGTGCCTTCATTCCATGCGTCCCATTTTAATGTGTGCACGGGCATAGCAGTAACTAAAATTGGCAACATCTGCCTCGTGCTTTCAATCAATTGGGCATGGATTTCAACCAACAAATTGGGATGTGTGTTGGCTAACGCCTGCCAAGCCTTACAACTTACAACGCTGCCTGATGGAGTAATAGGACGGAGTTAGAGTTGTGTAAGTTGAGTTAAAATTTCCTTCTTTTGTGTGCAAGTGAAAGTTTGTGAAAACAGGACACGAAATCTCTAAAAAAATATCTTCATTTGTATAAACACATGGCGTTGTTACAGCAACCATAAACAACATGGCGTTGTTATAGGAACCATAAAGAAATGGCGTTGTTTTAGCCAATATATTTAGCCATCAACCACAGGTAGTTGTAAGAATAATCATACACCAGATTCGCGTTGTCATATCAATCGTAAACAACATGATATCGTTATAACAACCATCAACTACAGGGCAATTTTATTAGAACTATACAACAACAGGGCTTTGTTATTGCAGCCTTTAACAACAGGCCGTTGTTATGTGATTCATAAAACAAGCTGTTTGCATTTTTGCAGACGAAATAGAAAGATTGTTGATGGCCAACGTAGGTCGAAAAGTTTTAAGATTTACATTATCATGGAAACCGCTGACATATTTAATGACAAAAGAAAGAAACACAAGGGGCAGTATTGCACTGGCATCATTAAGATATACACTAACATGGAAACCGCTGACTAATTTAATGACATAAGAAAGAAACACCAGGATAAGTCTTGCATTGACATCCTTAACACTCAAATAAACAGTGGCTTGTCCAGATTGATGACAACATTTTAAACGCCAGTTCTCTTTAACACACACGTTAAACCAAAATAAATGTTAATATATTATATATATATACATACTTGGTAATACAATTCTGGTAACCCAAAATTTAATGAACGAAAGATTCGGACAGGCCTGGGCCCAGTGCTTGATCAGCTCTTCAGAAGCAATGAAGTATTCCATGTGAATACGACACAAACTTTTGAATTTCTCAAAATGATTCTAAAAATTAAAAAAAGGAAGTTTCAAAATCTAAAGAATTGAGCATTATGACAAAATTAACAAATAATGAGATCGGAACAGTGGTCAACTGCCCCTGCTAAAATATGAGAAAATTTACAAAAATGAGATTGAAACTTGGCCACCTGTCCCTGGTAAAATATGAGAAAAGCTTTTGCTGGTTATCAAACTCGAATTTTAATTGAGACGCAATGCGCTGTACCAAAAAATTGTAAGGCTACATTTATAATTGTGAGGTCATGGATTCTTGAACAAACGAAATAAAAAGATAAAATTAGGGCGCCGATACCATTCCCCGTCTTCATGGGAGATGTAAATAATGGACAAACAATGAAAGCAAAAGTCAATGTAAATATAAAGTAACATGACAATAACCTCTAACGCTGTGACAATGTGTTGTTGCTGGTAAATAGACCCATTTGTTCCAAAACTTCTCTTTAGGTATAGGGTTTTAAGAGTATCTCCACATGAATCAGCAATACATTTGAGAAATTGTAGACCACTCTTGATGTCATAATTGGGGAAATCCATGGAAAATTTCTTTAAAAAAAATTATAATATTGAATTAAAATTGTGCATAGGACTCGTGGAAATGAATATCACAAAAATTAGTGAAATATTAAAAACCAGTTATACTGTCCTGAAAATTAAACCTTAAAACAATAAAATATAAACATGATACTGTTCAAAAAAATTAACCAGTGTACATGAAGCATAGGGATCTTTAAAAAAGATATATATTTATATGTATATTTAAAACAACAAACAACCCACGTTAACGTGACGGTGAGGCTCTTTTGGGGTTTTTCATCAAGCTCGACCACATAAATAGCCCCTCAACCATTGTCAACACTTGTCCTTATAAGACAGACTAGCCAGTCGTGCACCCGCACTGTTTTCGTGGATGTCCACATAAGACTGACTAGCCAATCCTGCACCCACAGCGTGTTTGTGGATGTCCACATAAGACTGACTAGCCATTCCTGCACCCACACTGTTTTTGTGGATGTCCACATAAGACTGTCTAGCCAGTCCTCAACCCACACTGTTTTTGTGGATGTCCACATAGACAGACTAGCCCTTCTTGCACCCACACAGTTTTTGCGGACGTCAACATAAGACTGACTAGCAAGTCCTCCACGCACACTGTTTTTGTGGTCGTCCACATAAGACTGAATAGCTAATCTTGCACCCACACTGTTTTTGTGGACGTCCACATAAGACTGACTAGCCATTGCTCCACCTACACTATTTTTGTGGACGTCCACATAAGACTGACTAGCCAATGCCCCACCCACACTGTTTTTGTTGATGTCCACATAAGACTGACTATCCAAACCTGCACCAACACTTTTTTGTGGATGTCCACATAAGAAAGACTAGCCAATGCACCACCCACACTGTTTTTGTGGATGTCCACATAAGACAGACTAGACAATACTGCACCCACATTCTTTTTGTGGATATCCATATAAGACTGACTTGGCAATCATGAACTCACTAGGTTTTTGTGGATATCCACATATAAGACTGACTAGCCCATGCCCCACCCAGACTGTTTTTGTGGACGTCCACATAAGACTGATTAGCCAATGCCCCACCCACACTGTTTTTGTGGACTTTCACATAAAATTGTGTTATGTAGCACAATTTCCTGTGCGTGAACTTTCATCGACCTCGCAGTACACTCCTAGCAGACAGTAACGTCTGTTGTGGGCGTGGTTAAATCTCTTTGATGTATCTTGTTTACAATCGGCTTCCAATTACACATTGGGTAGTATGTCTCCGGGTACATTCTCGAATGTGCTCCTTAACCCCAGATATGTAAGCAACACGTCATAAGACCTTCTGGAAGCGTCTTACGCTACATGTATATAAAGGATTGACAGATACGAAAAGACGGAAATTCAGATAGAAATTATTAACTTTACGAGACGTGTATTATTTCTTTGTGTATTTGTGAGCTTATACGTGTTTATTTCGCATTTCATCATTATTCATTGGCACATTATTCTAACTGTGTTAAGTGTATACCTGTACAAGGTCTACCATACTGTAAGTTGAAGATTGTCATTATATTTTCTTTTCTTTTCTAATTATGTTAAGACTTAATAAATCTTATTAATTTTAATTAGAAACTGCTTTGGGTGTCGTATCTTTAATATTGTTGACTCTATGGTATCGTCCTTTGTTAGGAACTGTTTACAACGAGCTAACTAAAATTAAAATAGGAGATTCATTTCTCCTAATACAAGTCAGTGCGAACAATTGACTAGCCAATGCACAACCCACACTGTTTTTGTGGACGTCCACATAAGACTGACTAGCCAATCCCCCACACACACTGTTTTTGTGGACATCCACATAAGACTGACTAGCCAATCCTGCACCCAGAATTTTTTTGTTTACGTCCACACACGACTGACTAACCAATGCACCACCCACACTGTTTTTGTGGACGTCCACATAAGACAGACTAGCTAATTCTGCACCTACACTGTTTTTGTGGATGTCCACATAAGACTGACTTGGCAATCATGAACTCAATATGGTTTTGTGGATATCCCCATATTAGACTGACTAGCCCATGCCCCACCCACACTATTTTTGTGGACGTCCACATAAGACTGACTAGACAGTCCTCCACCCACACTGTTTTTGTGGATGTCCACATACGACTGACTAGCCAATTTTGCACACACACTGTTTTTGAGGATGTCCACATAAGACTGACCAGCCAATCCCTCACCCACACTGTTTTTGTGAACGTCCATAAAAGACTGATTAGCCAATGCCCCACCCACAATGTTTTTGTTGACATCCACATTAGACTGATTAGCCAATTCTGCACCCACACTATTTTTGTGGACGTCCACATAAGACTGACTAGCCAGTCCTCCACCCACACTGTTTTTGTGGATGTCCACATAAGACTGACTAGCCAATTTTGCACCCACACTGTTTTTGGGATGTCCACATAAGACTGACTTGGCAATCCCGAAATCAATCTGTTTTTGTTGATATCCACATATAAGACTGACTAGCCAATGCCCCACCCACACTGTTTTTGTGGAAGTCCGCATATGAAATAACATATTACGTTCCGCCTGCGGTGGGATATGAGGGAGGGTTAGTCATTAAGGAGATTTACCATAACATTAACCATTGCAATTGTTGAGAGGGAACTAAAGGCAGGGAGTTCTTACAATTTGCATCAATTCTGCAATAACTGTCCTGTAACTCTTAGACTCTAGCACACCCTACTTTTGTCTAAAAATATATTGTATGAACGCCATGATATTCCATAAGTGTTTCAAGTGTTCAATGAAAAATCACTGCAATGTTTTCCATTCATCATCTTAAAAATGTTGCTTTTTATTTACACTTGATAGATATCGCACAAGTGATTAGTTAGGGCAGTAACAACTTTAAGTGCACTGTAAGTCATATTCTGCACGTGACGTAAGTATTTTGTTAGACTGAACGAAACACCAGCACTTGAGAAACATTGGGCCAGTGGCGTTGCTAGGGGAAGCGGCGCGAACCGCACAGGTGACACCATCGCTAGCTACACCACTACATAGGGCGTGTACCACCAAACACATTTTTAACATTTTTCTGCTTACCCAGCGTTTTTTCTCATGCTCAATTTTATCACCCAGTAAATGTTAATGCCCTCACTCGCTTTTTGTCCCAAATTAGGGGGAGACAGAATTAAGGCTCCAAATTGTGCTAAGAAAATTTATTTTAATTGTGCTGCCATTGAAGGCTTTCAGATTTACAATGGAGGGATTAAACTTTAAATAAACTTTATTTATTGTCTTGTAACATGGTACACAAAAAAAAGAAGGCAATTAATTTTAATTTATTTACTATGTCCCAGAGCATAGAAGTCTCTCTGTATAAAAGAAAAAGAAATTGGTTGTGGAAGGGGGGGGGGAGGTAACACCCAGGGCGAACCTTTGCTTACATCTTTGGATACGCCACTGGCCCAGAGGCTGAAGTTTCTCCTATAATCTACAAATTTCCCTCGAGTTAGGCATACTCCACAAAATAGGAAAGACTTGTAAATTGTGACTCGTTTTTTAAAAATTGTTTTTCCCGTCTTAACAAATTTTAAACCGCGTAGCAAAAGAGAAATGTACGCTAGCAGACGTCTGCAAATTCTTTCACATCTGTCCGTATTTGAAAGAACCTGCCTCCCCCCCCACCCCCCCCCACCTTCTGTTTCGAGAGAGCAGCACTAAATTTTTTTCCATTTCCCACCCCCCCTTTTCCATACCTCTAGGCTCCTTGTATTCCGTTATCATCAGCAAGTTTGGTTAAACGATTTTATATAATTTTTTACCTTTAAGAACTTTTGACCACTGGTTACTTCAATAAAACTGTTCAAAAAACGTGTTCGCTTTGGGACATTCAGACTGTTTAAGTTGAGGTTGTACAGAGTTAGCGATCTTAAACGGGATTCCTCCAGACTGGAATAAAAATCTAAAAATTTACGGAGGATTCCATTGGCAGAACCGGCATCCATATCCTTCAAAAGAATTTCCAAATCTTCCAGACAAGTTGAAAAGTGATCTGCGAAGCCTTTTGCCTTTGTTCCTGATAAGAAATAAATTGGAAATATCTATTCAACAAACTTGAGACTCATAAGACGTGGCGTAATAACAAAAGATAGCGCCGTAAAGTAATGGGGCGAAAGGGGTATCGAAGCGACATAAAGTGGGACAACAAACTTGAGACTCATACGACGTGGTGTAATAACAAGAGATAGAGTCGTTAAGTAATGAGGCGTAGGGGGTACCGAAGAAACATAAAGTGGGACAAGAAATGCGAGTGGCTTTTTCCAGCGTCCCCAAACATAAAATGGTTGGTGAAATATTCTCCGGTCTCACTTTATGTACGTGTTACTGACGTATTTATAGTTGATTCAATAGAATTATTATTAGTATACGTTTGGGTTGATTCCAAGTACGGTTGTGAT